TTTTTTTAATTTTCAAATCAGAAAGAATTCTAGACGCTCAAAATGAAAATATTCTCTTTAATGATGATATTGCAGTCAATGAATAAAAAAAAAAAAAAAACTCGACTTTCCTGAAACTTTGAGTGATTACAAAATATTTAAAAAATGAATTTGTCCGTTCGATAAATCAAATAATTATCATCAGTGCTGATTATTTGTTAAGAAATTCCGTGAATTTTTATACTGTAAAACATAGATTAAGATCAATTTTTGTAGAGAGATTTTTGGACTGTAAATATCAGTCAACGATCTAACGTTTATGATTATGAAAAAAAATTTACATCTATTGATAATATCATAATTCAATTTAGAAAGGAATCTGATTGTACAATGTACCGTTGGAAGAAATATTTGATCGTAAGTTCCTTCATTTTTATTTTTTTCTTATCATACTTCTGATAGGAAACGTAAAAGGTTTACTTCTTTAAAATTGATTTACCGATCAATTTTTTTTTTTTTTTTTACACAGATGAGTGCAATGGATTTTTTTATGAGTATTTATCATTTAAAATTCAAAAAAAAAAATCAATCAGTAAAATTAATTGCAAACAATTTTACATCGTATCGGATAATATTTCACTAAAGCAAATTACAAGTATATTTCATGATATTATTCTAATTCATTATACTTTCCGTAAAGTTATAAATGTAACTGATTAAATGATAGTTACTAATCCTAACAGTTGACTGATATTGTATCATAATTTAAATTAAGTTTTTAATTTTTGATTTACTTTTTATCTTCTTTTTTTTTCATTTTTAGTTATGCAGCATTAATATCTTCATTCTGTACTTATTATTATGCTTATCCAAATGGCGAATATATCAACAAAATTTGCTAACGATCAGCTCAATAAACTTTTATGGTTGGTACCGTCGATGATTCGATAAAAATGTGCGCTTTGAATATTCCTCGCTATTTTGAAATAATCGATAATGGAATGACATATGACATTCGGTGTTCTCTTTTTTAATCATTTTTTCGACAAGTTCCAATTAAGAATATCTACAGAAAAAAAAAGAAGGAAAAATTCCTAATATTAAAATTATTCAATTGCTAAAATTAACTATCCAATTAATATTAATCATATCAACATATTCGAAAGTTTTTATTTTGCTTTTCATTCATTTATATACCATCTGTCGTTTTGTTATTTTTCAGATGATCCATTCGGTGAAACTTTATTACTAGAAAATACTTGCAAATTTCCGATAATTGAACCAAATGAACCAAATTTGGAAGGTTATATTGAGCATTACAGGTTATTTATTATTTGAATATTTTATTGGATTGATAATTATTGATTAGCTGTAATTTTTCCCGACTGTTATTTGGCTTGTTATAAAATGAATCGGATTTGTAGCAAGGCTGAAAATTTTGTGATATATGAAGAAAAAATTTAGCAAATATCATCTCGCAAACAGCACTACGAAAAAAATATTTAAATAAGAATGTGTTTTATTAACAAATCACGAAATTGCAGTCTACAATAAATCATTGTCAATTAGGTCAATTTGAATTGTCGAATCTTTGTTATCAAAAATTTGACATATCATTATGCGGGTCAAGAAAAAGAAAATAGGAAAAAGAGCAGCCATAATGAATGAGAACGAATGAAATAGCAGTATAATTTGTTAACTTAAGAAATTAATAATTATTTATATGTATTCATTAACTTTGAAAGAGTGAAAAAAGTACAGTAATCACAACAGCAGTAACAATATTACAGGTAATATTATGATATTAATGCTAGCAAAATTAGAAAAAAAAAAGAGGATTGAATTCGACGTATTTCTAAAAAAA